TTTAATGTTTCTCCGCACGTAAGATCAGGAAGTTTGTTTTAAATGTATTTTTACATAAGAAAAAAAAAGAGAAAAAAGATTGTGTCGATCGAACAACATACGCATTGTGATCGGCATTACTAATTATTTCTTCCACACTAAATGTTTCCTTTTTGATAAATTCTTAAAATAAAAAATAAAAATAAAAATATTTTTCAATATTTTCTGTTCAAACCATGTGTTAACTTAAAAACTAATACCGTTTTCGCTATAAAAATCTAGTTTTCAACTAATCCTTTATTTCAACTAATGAGAGCTAACACTCATTTTTTTCAATTTAAACACAACTGAAAAGAGAAAAGAAAAAAATTGTACTATAATGATCATTCGGTGATAACGTAAAAATTCGATTTTGAATTAATCTAGTTAGCTTTTTGATATTTAAAATTATGCAAAAAAAAAAAGAGAAAATTCATTCTATTTGGTTGAAGAATCAATCATAAAAAGAGCTTATAGATAATGAATGTAACGGACTGAAAATCTGAATTTTTTTATCATAGTACATAGTATCAATAAACTGAAATTCATTAAAACAAGAATTTTCTTCTCTAAGATTTTTGATCATTTGAAGAGTGAAAATGATCTTCGGGCGTTTGAATTTATTTGTGAATTTTATATACGACTATTCAGTTTTTAATTTTATTTCTAAATGTAGGACAACTTGTTCTAAACTACTTTCTGTTTATATCAGATATGTAAACGAAAGAGTAATCATAGCATCGAAAAATATATTAATGTGTTCAAGTAAGTGATTTCGAGGTCTTATTAGATTAATTGTATTCCCTTCCATATATATATATATACAATATATAATGCTAGTAGTTGTTTTTTTCTCTTATTATTATGAATGAATAATGCTTAATTAACATTTCAAGTCCGAGATATGTTCAATTGATTGAAAATTATTATTTTAGAATGTGAATGAAATAAACCACAAATGAGAATAAAATATACTACTATCACTAAATTTGTTGTTCTGTCAATAAATAAACGTTCAATCAATGTTAAACAGAGACAAGAATAAAAATTATATAAACCATTATCTATTAAATTTCAATTCATTTTATGTAGTACTTCTGACATATAGAAAGTAAAAAGACATAAACCATACGTTAGAAAAAAAGAAAATAATGAGATGTGGGGGACGATGAAGAAATGATTGAGCGCGCAACAATTGATCGTTCATTCTTAATCAAGGACTAGTTTATCCTTTTTTTTTTTAAGATAGAATTATAAAGTAACATAGATAATAGTTAAAGAAAATCAGCATCATCTACTACGTACAATGTCTATTATTAGATATTTTAATTTTAATTTTTTTAATTTTTTTTTTTTCAATGAAGGCGATGTAAGTTCAATTTAGTATTTAAACAACCCTGATTTCTAACTTACACTAAAATATTGACCTATCCATAACGTGGTTAAATGTTGTGCTAATATAGTAAGATATTTTATAGTTGATGTGTGCCTCAAGATTGCAAGTGGAACTGAGATGATGCAAACGCTATCGTTCAATGTCAGAAAGAAGTTATTATTGCCTTAAGTACTGTGTCTGGTATAATAAAAAAGAACTATCTGCTTGATTGATTGTTTGTCCGCGGGCAATTTTATACGACAAACACTAGAGATCAAGAATAAGCATGACTCATAAAAGTGACTACGAAGATAGAGACCATTTACTAACAAAAATGGTCTTCTACGCGGTGCTATTTGAAAACGTTTTGCTCATTTGAGTTGCGCTTTTCGTTAGTGTAAATTGTTGTCTGTTGTATATATAGAAAAAATTTTAGCTAGAAATTTCAATAATTCGAAGAAAAATTGATTGAAATCGGTAATGGTTTTTTTAAGTCAAAAATCATTTTTCGAATTTCTGCGTTCTATTCACTCAAACTAATTTTTCAACATGTGAAACTTTGACGTCAGAAAAACTAGACGATTAATGGATACTTTACAAGTTAAAAAATATTTAAATAATTGTTGAGTTTTTAAATTTTCGATTAAAACTAAACTTATTAACATTTAAAATTTTTAAAATAGCGTTTTAAATAAATGAGCTAGATGACTGCGAAGTACGTTAATAACTCATTAAAAAAAAACTCTGTAAGGTGAAAATGCTAAGAAGTTATTCAGAAAGAGCACATTGCTCTCTATAAAATGATACCTTTCAGGTAAGAAAACTTTAGTCTTTCAACGTAATCTCCAAACAACTTCACCTGACCCGGTGTTTCCATGATCGATAAATGCACTTGAAAGTCATCTAGTATATTTATTTAAAGTGCTATTTTAAAAGTATACAGCAGACACTAATAAAATGGACAACTCAAACGATCGAAACCTTTTCAAATGACAGCACGTAGTAGATCTTTTCTTTTACTTGAACGCTTAATATTTGCACCCACTTTATGTTGTAATGTGTATAACAATCCTGTAGTGAAAATAATAATACGATAGAGAGACTCATTTGAGTACTAGGAATATCTGATGAAAGTAATAATGATGTCGATAGTAGAGCTTAGTCTGAATTCCGGTCATCCATAGCTTAGATTATATCAAGTTAAGATACATGATTCCTGTAACAAGAAGGAAAGATACCCCGCCGTGCTGCTACTGTTGAAGTTGAGAAGTTCTGGCATGGTCACCCATATCTTTCTGAGCAGAAGTCTGGTCTGGCATCAAGTTCTGTTGCTCACTTTCTTGAGTCGTCAGGCACACTTACTATCCAAGTATTAACCATAGAGGCTAACTAACCGAAGTAACTTTATTGTACGTCACAATGCACTAAGTATACTTTTGGACGGATGACCTGAGACACTAAGACATGAGTATATAGTACATCTCTCTAAAAAAAGCATATCACACTAAACTCTAAAAGAAGGTTCTAGGGAACTAAAAGATTTACGAAAATGATTGTTAAACCCTTTTGAGCTTAGGAGCATCGTTGAAAAACGCCTGGGATTGTTTACAGAACCAAAAGATATTTTGAAAAAATTCTTTTTTCTATCTTAAAATATCGACACGAATTCAGGAAAAATCCTAAATCTGTATTCGTGTTTACAAGCTCTTCTAAGCCTTTTCTGGCCTTTAGAAAACGCTGAAATTTTGAGATGGATTTAGAAAAATGGAACTATACAGAACGAATACAAGTTTAGGGTTTTTCCTGAATTCGTTTCGATATTTTAAGATAGAAAAAAGGATTTTTTCAAAATATTTTTTGGTTCTGTAAACAATCCAAAGCGTTTTTCAACGGTGCTCCTAAGCTCAAATGGTTTAACAATCATTTCCATAAATCTTTTACTTCCCTAGAACCCCGTTTTAGAGTTTAGTGAGGTACACCCTTTTTTTAGAGAGATGACTTGATCTCTCGAGGTTCGAATATAGCACTCTCATTCTGTGAGGAACGTTGGACTATGCAATCAAGGTAGCGAAGGAATGCTCTGCAATAAACCATTAAAAATCGAATAGAGAATTTATTCATCATATTAACTTCATCTTTTGAAAAGAAAAGGGTACCTAATAGAGCCACATTTTTCGTTAAAATAAAGTTGCAGGAAGCTGAGAGGCAATATTTCCATTAACTTACAGTTAGCGCTAAGCAGGACATTTAGCTGTTAGCTATAACATAAAAATAATATTTTAGAAAATAAAGTGAAAATTCTATTTTCCTGTGAAAGCGAAACGGAAAGAAAAGAAGCTAGAGGAAATCAAAAAGACGTGTTCAAATTGAAATTTTGTAATTTAACTTAATTTTAAACGCAATTTTTAACTGTCATACTTTATCTTTGTTCAGAATATATTTATTAATTTTTACTATATATTCCAATGTGAACATATTTTGCGACACCTCTATAGTCATAAATCATTTTGTGAAGTAAAAGAGGTAAATATAATATAAATTAAATTTTACACTTGTAATCTTGTTCATCAGATCATTAGATCTCACAAATGAAATAGAATAGAGAATATAGCTTAATCCAGACGAAAAATTATTTTTAGATACTTCTCCTGAAGTGGAGTAGTGGTTATTATATATAGTTTTTATATAACTATCATTTTTTCTGTCTCGATTTTTATACTATATTTGTAATTCTGTTTTTCTTCCACCTACTTATTTCAGTTCTATTGATTATTAAAGTGGCTAACTAGAGAAGCATATCAAAGTATTTAATCGCTTTTTTTGATTAAAGTTATGTAATTATAGGTAATCGGTGATGCTTATTTCGAATATGATAGTGAAAGCTGCATTTATATCTGTGAAGATCCGGTTTTTCAATTCAACATTTTTTTCTTTGAAATAGAATTACAATCTGTCCATTTTGTAGAACATGTAGAGTTGCACTATGACTATTGAACTGATTTTGATAAGGTTGTATCCAAATTAAGATTATAAAACAAAGAGCGCAACCATATTTTACAGGATTATAGTATAAATTGAAAACAAAAAATGACAGTTATATATAAATACTGAGCTCATTTTCAGCACTCATACAATGGTAAAAATGTTTGTTTATTCTTTTATTGATGTAGATAGGAGTTGAAACTACTGGTCTGCGACTCGACTCGACCGTTAGAATTGTTTCACGTTTTCACTAACCTTTTTTTACTTTAACATTACAGTTGGATCTTTTTCATTCATATTTTCTAATATAATTAGCAACCGTAACCAGTAAAGGTCGTTAAATTTTCTAACAAAATGGATCATGTTTAGCGTCACCTAATCTTCTTCGATCATCGTATGCTGATCGTATGCTGACACTTTTCTAGCAAAAAGTGCCTAAACTTCAACTAGTCGTCTTTACAAGACATGTGTAACCTGATTTTTATCTCGTTATTGCTATTTATGTTTATTTTTAGTATTTTAAATTTTACCAGCTTCATTCCATTTAGAAACCAAAAGAACTTGAAAAATGCAAGCTGTTTTTACGTGTATTTTACTGATGTTAACAATTTTTTTAAGTAGTAGAATGGCGACCGCAAATAAAGATCGAGAAGCATTCAAAGATTTATTACAAAAACGAAAACATTTAAATGGTTATTGGGTTGGAAAACGATCATATTCAGATGAAGACTTATACGACAATGGTGAGTATCACTTAACTCAATCATTTCTTTTAATTAAACAGGAAGAAGCTATTGTACTAACAATATTTTTCTATCATATTTAGACCATGAGAATCTTTATCCAACAGACTTATTCGATGATGATGATCATTCTGCAGCAAAACGTGCTTCATATCTTGTAGGAAAACGTGGAACTTATCTAGTCGGAAGAGACACAAGCAAACGGGCTTCTTATCTTGTTGGTCGTAAACGCCGTGATCTATCCTCAAACTTTTTAACTTTCGATCCAACATTAGAAGAACAACGTCGGCGATGAACTTGCGTGAAAATAATAGACTTGCTCTTTTTTTGATTTGTTAAAACTTTGCCATCACCATCGGTACACCCAAATGGATATTCTATCGATCCGCATTTCGATCCACACAACAAGCTCTATTTCTTGTAATATTTAAGAGGTTGCACTACATTATATTACACATAGCAATCAAATTGAAGTTTTTTGTATGCGTGTCGATTCCCAATAAAGTATTGTTTCCTAGAAAAATTGACATTGGTAAAATTACGGAAGAAAAAGTCTTATTAATAAAACTGTGTTTCCTCGTCTCAATTGTTCGAAGTTTGGCGATAGAATCACTCTGCTCGTTTTCTTTATAATACTTTGGTATAGTAACGTGTGAAAAAATGTTCTTATTTCGTATATGAAATATGAGCATTGATCTCATTCCAGTTTTCCATACTGATATGAATTTTTATCATCACTTTTCATATATGGCACAAGGGAGTGGAAAAAAACGCAAAATATACGCCGCTTGTACAAAAAGGGATACTGCGATCCGAAATACTAATAGGGTTTTTGTGATTTACTTGAGTGTGTTTTAATTATTTGCATCTTGAAAGAAATGTTCGTCTAAGAATATATTTTTTTTGCGTGTCACCATTCTATGTGTTAACAATTAAACACATTGTTCCTCCGATTACTCCCTAAACACGTTCGGAGCACTGTCTGGAAATATTACCGTAAATTTGTAATAATGTCATACTAAAGGTGTGACAATGTTACGTTTTACTATAACATTATCACACTTTTAGCATGACATTGTTACATACATATGACCAGAACAAAAATAAAGTTGGTTTTGAGTTGCTGGAAAGTGTTTTTTCGTATTCAGCATACTCGATCACCCAGAAGAATTTCTATTTTTGGCGAGGGGTACTTCCAAAAGTTTAGGAAAAAATTTCAGACTAATATTATTTTCCCATGGATTGCGCCATTTTGTTTCAAAAATTTTCCTAAACTTTTGGAAGTACCCCTCACTAAAAATAGCAATTCTTCTGGATGATCGAGTATGCTGAATACGAAAAAACACTTTCCAGTAACTCGAAACCAACTTTATTCTTTTTGTTCCAATAATATGTCTTTACCGTAACACTTCGGGACAGTGAGAACCTAAACCAATAAATGTAATATGAAGGTGGTCAAAACTATGCCAGAATTTAGTTTCTATAAAAAGTTTCAGCAAAAAACTGCATACCATTCTATAAATACTTAACTATGAACTCATTCGAAATTCTTTTCTATGAGTAAAAAGTGTCTTGCAGCTTATTACATGCCATATTCAGCGACATCTACAATAGAGTTTTGATTCCTTGACGTACGCATCCAATGAAAGAGGATCAATTCCATGCGATGAAATAAATAATAATAATAATTAAAGACAGTTCATCTACCTTAATCATTGTGAAAAAAATTCATGGTAAAAGGGAAAAATACTACGATATAAACATAGTATCAGCGTACTGAATGCCAGTATTCAGTACAGTGATAGTACCACATGATAAAAGCGTAGCAATTTCATGATATCATGCGCTTGAACTATGTCGGTTTCATGGTAAAAGCCTAATACTAAATTTTTCACATGAAATCAGTACAGTTTTAGCGTGAAACTACCACACTTTTAGTACGGTTACAATGATAAAACACAGTCAAGAATACATACTTCACAGACTTTTTATTCTTCCAGTTGTTTCTGTTTAAATTAGCACGCTCATACTTTTCTGCAACTTCCATTAGTTTGTTCACATGGTACGACAAAAGGAACTGTAGACTATTCGAATCAGACGATTTATAGTTGGAAATTCGAAATCAAATTTTATGTTGAGATAAAAACTTGTTTAAGACGTCATTGCCACAGAGACGTACGAATCTCGCTTTATAGTAAACCATGGAAGGATTCATCTTAACACTATTAATAAACTTCTACGCGATAAAAAATATTTCAAACATACAAAAAAGTTTGAGAAGAAAAAATCTTAGAATTTATTTTGCTATGTCATGCGCCGATACTGTTGAAAGGGTTGCTAGAGCTGCTGCTCTTGATATGTTTTATGGCTATCTGCACCCATAAAAAATGTGCATCGGCATTCGGACCTTTTTGAAGCACCAAGTGCCATCGATATTTTAACCGCATTTGGGGACGAACCACGGGAATCACAACACTTGTATAACGTCGACGTTACTGTTATTCTAACAGATCCATTTCTATTGATACTCTTTTCGTGGATTTGAATTAGATAAATAAAATAATAAAAAAGGTTGATAGCATCTGTTCCTGAAAACAATTCGGAGCAGTATTTTCAACCACATCGATGTTTTAGACCATTGCTTTTTCTTTCACCCGTCTGCTGCGGGCATACCGAGGATTCTCTAATGATTAAATAAAACTGATATTCTTCGTGCATCACTTCATGCACATACGAGAATTTGATTCTTCTAGGAATAAGTCAGAATTCCCACGAACAGGTGTTTGAATTTCTCAATATTTTTAAATACGCTCGGTTAATTGTATTTCATTGTCTTATATCGAAGATAATTTTTGTGAATATCATTCAAAATAACTTCTGAGAAAACCAAAAAACGTAAAGGAGTGAACGATGTTCATATAAAATACGTACACAAATCGCCAAGGTCGCTAGATTAATTAAAATAGAGGGATTAGTGGTGAACAGCGACCTTTAGAGAATTCTGTTTGGCGACATTTGTCGTGGAATACCCCACGATTTTCTCTGTATTCACCAGTACAAATTGAAAAAACTAAATTGATGCGATTTGCTGAACTGACATAGGTACAACACAATCTTAAAGGCTGCAGGATTAAGCTTAACTTCCAAAGTCTATCTGATGAAACTAACTCAACGGCATATATCCTCCCCGTTCGAAAGATCTTATAGTGAGCTGTCCATCATATATCATTACTTGATCATAATCCAATTTTACTGTCTAGATATGAATACCATATGCAATAGAATAAATATTTTATCAAATGCATCAACGTCCCATTGTATATTTATCACTCAACGTTTCTTTCAAACTAGTCCAATATTGAATAGTTGGTTTACTAAATTAACAAATGTATCGCAAGTGAACACAGAAGCAGCTACACCCAAACATGTAAGACTGTGCGATGAATTTTATATTAATATTGAGTCAAAGTATTTTGATCTTCTATTTTAGACTCGTCGTAAGAATTATCCATTGACATACGAACAACGGCAATTTCCAAATATGATTGGTCATACAAAAACTTGGAACACATTTAACACATCAAATTTAAAAGATGGAAAACGTAAATCAGAAACGTTAACAGACGATTTATTTATAAGACAATTTATATATGGAACGTGGCATAATTTATTTGCATCAGAATTAATTATTAAACGGAGACATAATATGATTATATTAAGTGGATTAGTTACAAGGACAATACATCCGAGGCGAATGTACTTTCTGATTGGTTATACTGAAGAAATATTATCTGCTCTTTTAAAATGTCCCGTTAAATTAGAAATACAAACAGTTGAATCAAAAGATGATGTCATTTTCACATATTGGTAGTCTTGTTTATTGCTTACATCCACTTTTTTTTGTTGTTTTACTTATTAAGAAAAACTCAACTAGAGATTTGTACTCATGTTCAATTTGAGAGCGAGATTTTAACTACATGCGTGCTTGTTATTGTTTCATGGAATGACCAACGTTCTTTCTTTTTCTTGTTTTTTTTCCAGAAAACATCCTTTTGTTAGAGTCTTATATTGCTGGTATGACATCTTTCTACTTTGCAAGAGGGATACATTTTCAAACTAAAGAATGTTATTTTTGCGTCATCGGCATTGTGTCGTGTATATTACCAGCTTTCTCTATTTTATGAGTATATTAGCAGACATTTCGAGAAAACTAATATCAAGTTTAGTTTTGGACAACTTATAACTTCGTCAAAATTGAGTTTTTGATAGACATTGGTTCTTCAAGATAAATGTATTTATCTTACTTTCGCTTAAGAATAGGCTAGAACAGTTATGTGAGTGTTGAATAGAAAAGAGAAAGGAATCATCATATTGTTTGTTTTAGTCTTTCTTTCTAGAATTGATTGATTTACTTCCTATTTTTGAATGTGAAATAAAAGAAAGATTGTTACTCTAAAAACTCGCACATCTTTATCTATTTCTGAACTAATCTGTGGACAACGACATTTTTGTGAAAAAGATCAAAGTTAAAATAATTAAATAGATTTAAAATTAACATAATATATATTAAGTTTTCAGATGTAAAGTTTACAATTTTGTATGCATCAGATATATGATCTAACATCTTTTGTGTTTTGCTCTTGAAACCATATCTAACGTAAATGAGATGATGATAATAATGAACAATAGTGAATCAATTATTCGTAATATGACAGAGATATTCAACTGAATTTCACGTGTTTTACAGTGATCCATGTTATTCTTATGTGCATGATAATCATAATAATTTGTGATTCTATAATATAAGTGTTTGTACCAATTTAATGGAAAACAATAGTGCCATATTTTTTCTAATAAATTTTCTTCTAATGGTTTCAAATGATAATCATGTTCAAAATGTACTTGAAAACGAACACGTTTTTGTGGACATTTTATTATTTTTAAACTTAGAGCATTTGTGACATTTTCTTTATTATAAAATATCGATATATGATATAAACATTCAAGAACAATAATTATGACAAGCAATATTTTCCATGTACAAGTCATTTAATCTATTTATTTATTAGTTGATTTTTTTCACGTAATTTTATTTTCAATTCGGTTATTAACAGAAAAATATATTCGAGAATATAAGAAGCATATAGTTAATAGAAAGTTTTTTAAAAAAAAAATAAAGAAACTTTTCAACAAAAATTGTGACCATGACAACATGTAAATCGAAAGACAAATCTTATTAAATGTCGAGGACAACTATGAAAAACGAACAAATGAACATCATCAGTCGATCGATGAACATTATCATCACATTTTTGCTGTTAGTTTAGAGCCTTCTGCGTACATTGTTTGTTGTTGTTTAGATGTTGATGTTGCGGATACTGCTCTCAAAATACTACGTTTATTTGAATCAATCATAACGATGAAATAGAATAAACCAATGGTTAACCATAAATAACGTAAACACGTAAATAAAGTTGTTAAATCAAGTTTAATTTGTTTATGATAACATTCTCTTGAAATATTTTCTTTAATTATTGTTCTATCGACTGTTGATATCGATGAACTATAAAATGGTTCAAAAAGATGATAGAAATGGTGCCACCACCAATTTGTTGTACCAGTCATTGATGTGATTGTGGATGATGAGTCCGGATGTTTAAATTCAAATAAAAATGTTTGTGGACAACTGTGAATGGTAATAGTCGAGTTATTATAGGCCATTCGTCGCCAGATATATTCTAATCCAATAAGTAATAAACCAACGAAAAAATGTAGTATTAAATATTGTCGTTTGTAAACAAGTGTCATTGTCTATAAGCACAATATGTGTATATGTGTGAAAAGTTCAAAGTTGATAAAAAAGATGAATAAATGGCCTTTTTTAAGTTAGGAAATAGTAAAGGATAGGTTGTTTTATGCAATTTGGTCATATGAATGTCACTCCGGATACTATTGGCGCATGTTTAATCTTATTCATTTTAACAAATTTTATACGATACCGATTCATTTATAAGGGATCTGAACTGAACGATTACATACACCTATAGCACTAATCTAATTAATAATTATAACGAATGCACATACTTTACTGATGATGAAATCATCAAAGAACATATTCTAGTAGCATATTTTAATGCAGATATCTGAAATAAGTTTTACACTAATCAATTTCAATTTTTTTGAAAGAGACTAAATTCGATAGTTCAACTTTTTTATATGGTCAAAAATTATCGATTTGAAAAAGAGACTTGAACTGAAAAGATAATTTACATAACTGTCTAGATGAAAAAAAATACTAGAAAAAAATTATTTTTTATCACTGTCATCAAGAATGTGGATTATTTCTTTTTGAAATGGGATGCAACATGAACATGTCTTTTTTTACGTTTAGTAAACGTCAAAACGATTAGCATCATAATTCTATTTTAAATATATAAGTGTAAAAGAGTATATTATTTTTAAACAAAAAATATTACTAATTTTGAAAATAACATCTATTGTATTGTGTAATACAATGAATTTGACAGAGACTCACAATCTTTTCAACATTCACTTTTAATTATTCATAAATATTGTACTCTTCCTTGTTGTGAAAAAGTTTTTGAAGTTTAAGAACAAAAAATATTTTACGGTTTGTTACTTCCAACTACTTTTTATTTCAGCATTTAACAGAAATGTTCTAAATAGTTAGAAAAATATGTAAAACCATAAACAATATACTTTAAGTCATCCATAATAGAGGATACCATTTAAAAATTGTTTTAATATCAATACGAGTCCTTCTTTATTTGGATCATACATCCATAAAACATATTCGTTATTATTATTTGCGTATTGAACATAATGATTAACAACATTATATAATTCACGTAATTTTTCATCATTTGATTTCATTGCTAAATATTTTAATTTTTCCAAAACTTTTTCTGTTACAACGCTAAAATTTTCGACTGGTATGAGTTCAGCTTGAATCAACAAGTCTGTAGAAGATGAAGAATCGGATGATGGATGAATATCTATATCTCGTGAATGTTTGTAATGAGTAATAAGATCATTCGAGTTATCATTTAAAAAATTGTTATGATGATAATTATTTGATAATCTCTTCATCATACTGACATTCGGTAAACACCATATATAACATATCACTTGGAATAAAGTTAAAGTTGTAATAGTATTATTTAGTATACTGTGCTAAAGTTAAATTGAAAATGATACACACACAGAATTCAAAATTCTGTGTATAAAGAAAACATCTTATACTTTCTATTTACCATTGTTCAAACACTGATCCATCATAAAGAGAAAGTTTAGTGTTGAATGAAACTGAGAGTACTAGTTAGTCATACACTATACAATTTTGTGAAACTACTGTCTGAGGCTCAACGTATACAGTAGCGTTTTCTTTAATATCTACATGTGAGAGAAGTGCTTGTTTCAACTTGTGCTACTGTGTACTCATGACTGTTTGTCAAATAAACTAAACTAAAATTTTATTATTAGAACTAGAGGTCTATAAATTTGTGTAGTCTGACTTCTTAAAATTAGTTTGTCATGACTTACTTTCATTTTGCCGAAATTGATAAATATTCTGAAGTATTTCAGATATTTTTATTACATATGAAATGACAAGAATGATTTACCAAATGAAAGAACCCACTCTTTTTTTAATTAAACGTATTTTTCTTATCAATATGGACATGTTTAACAGTTAAAAGACACCATTTTAATATATTATTAATTTAATGTATCATTTCTACTTTTTAGATTATATAAGGTATATTATTCCAGTAGGTAACTAGATATTTGCATACTATTACAGATCCTATTATGAAATTTGATAACACGTACATGTTATAAATTGAGGAATGGGAGAATATTCTGTTGTGGACTTTTGCAACTTTTCATCCCTACAGCTTCAGACTCAGTTACATGTACCTGAAAACATATAGTTAGAGACTTTCCAATTAGCCGACTACTACGTTGACAGAAAATCTTGTATAATCCTAATTACATTCATCTTCCCTCTCCCGGCTCCTTAATTGTTCTCCAGAATAAAAGTGAATTAAGCTGATAAAGAACGAAAAACTTTTTGTGAATGTAAAGTACGTGACATATACTGCAATCAGAGTACCTATTAATATGCGCCATTTGCAACTTTTCAACTGTTCTTCTTTTCAGCTTTCCATCTTTTGCAACATTTCATCGTTTCACCCTCACCCTCAAACTACTACGCTCTTAAAGATATAAATTTCTCTCATTCTAACGAAAAATCCACAATATTGAAAAACTAAAATGTCTGGATATTCTCGAAAATAAAATAGATCACAATATCTCAGAACGACAAAAATCTTTTTATTTTAGCCTTCCGCATAGGGGTGAGACAGTTCCGGTTCCTATAGTTCTTAAGAACTGGTCACCAGTTCAGTTCTTGTTGAACGAGAGCTGGTTACCAGTTCTTTTCAAGAATTCAAAATAAAATAAAACCAGTGTAGCTAGTTATATGGGCACGGCGATCTTTATCTGTGGGGTATTTCATAAAAAGATTTTCATAAATAATCATTTAGGAAGATCCTTCTCATGCATTTTTATCAAACTCCTCCTTTTTTCAGTTTGTGACGAAAAAATGACTTTCATAGAAAGAATAAAAAATATTATTTGAATATTTTTAAATGTTTTTAATGAAAGTGCTTTTTTTCCAAAAAAAGGACTGTTCTGTGAAAGTTATTTTATGAAAGTTATTTTATAAAAGCCATTTTATGGAAATCATTTTTTTCATAAAACGTTTGGATCAAGAAGAACTTATTTTATTCAAAAAATACTTTTTTTATTTTAGGAAAGTCATTTTTCTGTTTGTTTATAAAGTAACCAAATTTATGAAAAAATGGCTCTTCATAAAAATAATTATTTATGAAAATCCTTTTATGAAATATTCACAAGTAAAGATCAAGCTACTCAGTTCTATTGACTTGGTTTAGTCAACTAAACACACCATCTACCTCCGACGCGCTACAGAAAGTCAATGTAAGTAGGTTCGTTGGTTTTATTTCAATTTTAAGTTTTTGAAAAGAACTGGTACCAGTTTCCGTTTACAACAACTGAACTGGAACTGTCCCATCCCTATTCCGCCCATTGTGCAGAAGTTCCGCACAATACACTATCCTTCAGCTTTTAGACATCTCTGTGCAAATTTGACAAATTTCGTTACCGAGATCACAAGAGATATTACAAAAAGAACAGATGGTAAACTTTTCATTTTTCCCAAATGGTTTGAAATGAAATTCAACTTGCATTTAAAATTATGCTTTTTGGGGATATTCTATTTTTTACACTGTTAAGAAAAGTTTTATACGAAATTAAAAAAGGGTTAAAGAGGTGTCGTTATTTCCAAACTCTTTTAGGTCACTATAAAACCTTTTTTAAGAGAGTAATAAAATATGCGCCATGTTTGGAAAAATTCTGAAGTTTGTCATTGTGCTGGATAGTCTTTTTAAGAAAGAGTTTATATGTTTTTTTCCTTTGCTGGTGGCACGAAACATCTTCACCACTATCCGTTCAAAAATATAGTGCACTTCATTTTTTTTTTGAATAATTTTTTATAGGAATGAGATAAAGACTTGCGATTTTTACCATTATCTAGAGAGAAGACTTGAGTCAACACAGCTATGAAAAAACAAAGTTGCTGAAATAACTCCAAGCATTGTACCTGACAAGTCTTTGAAAAACTATTCTGCCAGGACATGATGAAACAATATATTTTTTCCGTCACGGGTGGATCCTAACCTCCCGGCTTCCCCAGACTGCCT